AAGGTGAAGCACTAGGCAGCTTCCAGGTGTCCACCTAGACTGTCAGCGCGATCCGAGCAGTAGCCTAGTGGGACCATCCGGGACAGAGCCAGGGACAGGCGGTTGTGTGTCTATAGGCGTTGTCCTGTAGAGCGCAGCTCCTGTTCACCCTAGTCTGAGAACGGTGACGCTTCCCTAAGCCCGCACGGCTGATCTCCTTGCGAGTCCGAGGCGCTACGAGTGGTCTTCGAGTCAACGCATCGGAGACGAACATCGCCGAGCAGCTACAAGGAGCTACAGGACCGGAGCACGGAATCAGCGAGGCAGGCGATCACCGAGGCGACGCACCAACTTGCAGAGACGAGCATCACTAGGAGGCACCGAGGACCCCGAGTGGCGACACCAAGGCCAACCGAGCCATCAAGACCGCTGTAATCATACCCGCAATAAACCCAATTCGAACCCGTGAATTCTGTGCTTTCTCACTGATCTACTGGGCGGTCACGTTTATATAAATTTGGTGGGACGAACACATAACTTTTCTGAGCTAGCCGCACGAATCTCGTAGCGAGCAGACATACAAAATCAGTTCGTTACAATACCTCGAATTGATCCAGTGTCAAAAAAAGACTTTAAAAAGACCGTGTCAGCATTAGACTTCTATAGTTATAGGTTAATGGTTCGATCATCTGAAGACAATCATTTATTGCGTTCGAGATCTTTGCTTAGTCAATTTGTGACAGATATGTTCGCAAAAATCGATAGTAAAAGACTAAATTATATTCCAAACAATGAAGCGAAATGCATCTTAAAGATGCAATAGGCGGCCAAGATGCAGATGCACGCCAACTTGGTCAAATGGTTATTTTACCTTCAACATTTACTGGTTCCGCACGATATATGCATGAAAAGACGCAGGATGCTATGACGCATGTTCGACACTATGGTCGCCCTGATCTCTTTATAACATTTACATGCAATCCTAAATGGGATGATATAACCAAAGCGTTATATCCGGGTCAAAAACCCCATGATCGCCATGACATTATTGCTCGAATTTTTCATTTAAAGGTAAAAATATTAATGTTTTTATTGGATAAAGGCAATTTATTTGGTGAGGTCCAGTGCTTCATGTATTCAATAGAATGACAAAAGCGTGGCCTGCCACATGTACACATACTTCTTTGGCTAAAATCTCATATTATGCCTGAGCAAATTGATTCTATCATAAGTGCTGAAATTCCCGAGCCTGATAAGGATCCTCTACTTCATGATATCGTCAAGGCAAATATGATTCATGGACCCTGCGGGGCATTAAATTCGAAATCGCCTTGCATGAATGCAGGTAAATGCACAAAAAGATTTCCAAGGCAGTTTTTGAAAGATACTTTGACTGGGAAAGACGGAAGGGCTCCAATAGATAGTGGTTTTACTATTGTTATCAATGGTAACATTATAGATAACCGTTGGGTTGTGCCGTATAATCCAACTCCTTCGCGTGCTCTTAGAGCCCATTTAAATGTAGAATACTGCAGCTCAGTAAAGTCTATTAAGTATGTCTGTAAGTACATTAATAAAGGGAGTGATCAAGCGACAATTGCAATAGAAAACGTAAGAGACGAAATAAAATTATATGAAAGTGGTCGATATATAAGCAGCTCAGAAGCGGTATGGAGAATTTTAGCGTTTCCCATACATGAGAGATATCCAGCAATCACTCAATTAGCTGTGCATTTGGAAAACGGTCAAAGGATATACTTGAATCCAGATAATCCAAATCAATTGGCTAATCAGATAATGAATCCGCCAACTACAACACTAATTGCCTTTTTTGAGCTTTGCAAAATCGACTCATTTGCGAGAACCCTTCTTTATGCCGAAGTGCCTTCTTTTTACACGTGGAATAACAATTCATTTCAAAGAAGAAAACGAGGGGTTGACGTTCCAAATTTCCTTGGGGTTAAAAAAGATCAATGTTTGGGTCGTGTGTACACTGTTCATCCCAAAAATAGTGAATGTTATTATCTTAGACTTTTACTCCATGAGGTAAGAGGTCCAACCTCATTCTTGGATTTAAAAACAGTAAATGGTGTTGAATACAATACTTACCAAATGGCTTGCAAAGCTTTGGGCTTACTGGAAGATGATAATCATTGGGACTTGACCTTGACCGAAGCTGCACAATGTCAAATGCCAACAAAATTGCGAGAACTATTTGCAATAATGTTAGTATCTTGCCAAATAAGCGATCCACTCCATCTTTGGGATAAGCACAAATCAAGCCTCTCAGAAGATATTGTGTACCAAATACAAATGCGAGCGTGCGCACACCAAGTGTTTAATTACAATTGAAGATATCGTACTATCTATAGGAGGAAATATTTTATCAGAGTACGGTTTACCTGAGCCAAAGAGAGTCGATGAACCATTAGCAAATAGGGACTATTTAAGAGAGATCAACTATGAAAATAATGAATTAGGTATTATTAATGACGAAAATTCACTTAATGCCGAGCAAAACGTAGCATATAAGCACATATTAGAAAGTGTTGAGGCCAAACGAGGTGGAATATATTTTTTGGATGCTCCTGGTGGCACTGGAAAAACGTTCCTTTTGAATTTGATTTTGGCAAAAGTTCGTTTAAATAAAAATATTGCCTTGGCTTTCGCTTCTTCTGGAATAGCTGCCACTTTGCTAACCGGAGGTCGAACAGCGCATTCTGCATTGAAACTTCCATTGAATTTAATAAATGTGGAAATGCCGTATTGCTCAATTTCAAAGCAGTCCAATATGGCCATGGTTTTGAAAGACTGTAAGCTTATTGTTTGGGATGAATGCACTATGGCGCATAAGGGCGGCTACGAAGCTCTCGATAGGACTTTGAAGGATATACGAGACAATAACTTTGTAATGGGTGGCGTTACAGTTCTTTTAGCAGGAGATTTTCGTCAAACCCTTCCAGTAGTGCCCCGCGGAACCAGAGCAGATGAAATAAAATCGTGCTTAAAATCTTTTTCTCTGTGGCCTGATATCACGAAACTAGCCTTAACCAAAAATATGCGTATGCACTTGAACGGCGATCAATCTGCTGGATTTTTTGCAAAAACATTACTCCAAATTGGAGACGGCATATATCCAACAATTGAGGGAAAGATAAAGATACCAACATGCTTGAGAACTTTAGTAACTTCAGTCGCAGACCTTACTTCAAAAATATTTCCTGATATTTTAATCATTGCAGAAAAGTCGCTAGATTGGTTGTCTGAACGCGCAATTTTAACTTCAAGAATTGATAGAGTTTCTTCAATAAATGACTCACTATTAAAGTAATTTGACGGTCAAGAGGTAACATACAAATCTATTGACTCAGTCACGGTATTAGAAGCTGCTGTTCACTTTCCTGTCGAGTTCCTGAACAAACAGAACCCTCCAGGTTTTCCTTTGCATAATCTTTCTCTTAAAATTGGGGCCCCCATAATGTTGCTACGTAATTTAAGTCCTCCAAAACTTTGCAACGAAGCGAGATTGCAAGTTAAAGCTCTCCATAAAATTGTCATAGAAGCAGTAGTTTTTACTGGATGCGCTAAGGGTTAAAAGGTGTTTATACCTAGAATTTCCCTTATAACATCTAACCTACCCTTTGAATTCAAAAGACTGCAATTTCCCGTGAAAGTCTGTTTTGCAATAACTATCAATAAATCCCAGGGACAGACTTTAAAGTTAGCCGGATTAGAACTAAGAGAGGATTGCTTTTCTCATGGTCAGTTTTATGTTGCCTGTTCCCGAGTTAGTTCGGCAAGTAATTTAATAATTTTGGCACCTGATGGAAAATCAAAAAATGTTGTTTATCAAGAGGTTTTAAATTAAAGGTTACAATTAAAAATCTTCTTCACGTAGAATATGCCTGGGGTACCCCTGGGGACACCACTTTAAAAAAAAATGCGCCAAATCCTCTACCTCCAGGGTGGTGTGGAAATGAGGTTCACTTAAATTTAATCAATGTAACCAACATTTCTTTTATTGCACTAATATGCATTAAAAAAACTAGCAATGCTCTGCTAATTGACGCGGACAACGTCGCGGCGGGTATTGCTAGTACATATATAAAAATTACTTTCTAACATAAAGACATTTATTAAAAAAAGATATAATATTTTAATCAGCATGGTTTTAAACCCGTCAGCTGATCACCGTGCATATACAGATGACTTCCCATTCTAATACACCTGGCTTCCCGGGTCTTCCCCAGATACCAGATCGTTCGAATGAAAAGCGCCCATACATGCAAAGGTGCCTCCTATATCGATTCATCAAAGAGTTGATTTCTATATCTTTGCGCCTCGCTTAGGAAGCCTATTAGATTCGGCCAATTTTCTCCATTTAGTATGTTTTGGAATTCCACGTAGCCTAACTCGTCTTTTTCCCAGTATAATCGGCGTATCTCCCGTAAAATAGGGCATGTTGCTATGAAGTGGAAGGAGTCTTCCCGTTCTCTTCGGTTACAGAGTGTGCATTCCTCCGATTGGGCTCGTCTATGTGGCGCGTAGTTTAGTCGTAGTATCTCCACTCTAGCTTTGAAGATCGTGGAAATAGCATAGATTTTAAAGTGGTCGCTAAAATAGTTTCTCGAGCGTTTCAAGCGTTCTGTAGTGTTCTCGGCTCTCACTTTGCCTTGCTTGTTCTTCTGCTCGTTGCCTCACTTGGATGTTTATCGCCTCGAGTATGTTCTGGTGACTGTCCTTCCAAGTGGTCTGATCGTCCCAGTCGAATTGCACGTTAACACTGCTTGCTAGATGACACCACTCTTGAAAGCAATGCGATTTGCTTTGTAGCATGTGTGATGCCACAATTTTTGGAAGCCTCCTGTCGTTAAAGGACATCACTTTTCTGATGTAGCTGAAATGACTATTCAGTGTACTGCTAGTCCTGTTGCGTAATTTGGTGTGTTCGATGGCAACCTAAAGAGTCTTTTTAAGAAAAAAGTTAACAATTTTTCTACTTCTTCGGAATACGTGTGTCCTCAGACTTCGGCAGAATTACACATTATGGCTTTTGATGTGGCTTCGAATAATTTGTATTCATTGCTACTCTTGACTTCTTGCTTTGCCAGGAAACAACTCCAAGTACTGTTCAGTGCAACTTTGGCATCCTTTAGCTTTTGTTGCAGATGTTTTTTGAAGCTCATGTTTGATGATAAGACCGTTCCCAGATATTTGTACTCCTTTACCACTTCAATTTCGGTACCATTCAACGTCCATCTTTCATCTCTGGCCAGGCGTCCCCTGGGATCTTTGATGCACATAACTTTTGACTTGTCCAGGTTAATTTGGAGATTCCAGTTGGTACAGTAGGCGTGGGTGTAATTGATCATATTTTGCAGCGTTTCGGGACTGCCTGCCAGCATCACCATGTCGTGTGCGTACATGAGCACTTTAATCTGATGGTCTGCAAATAAGACTCCTTCCGGTAGGCCTTCTGTGATGTCATCAACGAATAAGAAGAAAAGTAAGGGACTAAGCAGACATCCTTCCTTGTTTATCTCAAACCATTCAGAGAGGGTTTTTCCATCCCATACGGCTGTGCGGTTCTCTGAATAAAGATTTTGAATTACTTCGAGCATTTTGGTTGAGATCCCTCGGTTACTCAGCTTTAGGATTAATGCCCTCCTGTCGATCGTGTCGAAAGCTGCTTTAAAATCAATAAAAAACAGGTACATTTTTTTATTTTTTTTTATAGAACTCCGCTGCAGTAGATGTTAATGTAAAAATGCTATCTACTATCGAGTAGCCTTTCCTGAAACCGGCTTGGTACTCGCTTAGAATTTGGTTTCGCTCTACGTACTTGGATATTCTCTCTAATAGTATAGACGTAAAGATTTTTTGGACACTGTCGAGAAAGGATATTCCTCTGTAGTTGGCAGCAGCTTTTGGGTCACCTTTCTTAAAGATCGGGAAAATTATGTTGCGCTTGAAACTCTCTGGTGCCGTACGGTCTTCAAAAATGCGATTATACACCAGCGTTAATAGGGAAATTAGCTCCGTTGAGGCGTTTTTGTAGAACTCGGCCGGAACTCGATCAAAACCGGGGGCCTTCTTTACTTTGCTCCTTCGGACTGCATCTTGGACTTCGCTGAGTCGTATCGGTTCGTCGAGCTCATTTATTTCCACGTATGGCAGTGCGTAGTTAATCTGCGTTCTGCTTGACAGCTGAAGTAGTCCTTTAAAGTGTACTCCAAGCGACAATGCGGTTACCTTGATTCCTCCCTGTCTGGTATTCAATCCATTTAATTTTTTTGCCATTTCCCAAAAACCTTTACTGTCTCTTATTTCACCAATTTCCATCTCCAGACGCTGGTAGTACTCCGCTTCTTTTGCTTTGCATAGTGACTTATACGCTGTATTGGCTGTTTGGTAGGCATGTTTGGTTTCATCGTTGGTGTTCTTCCTAATATTCTGGAGCTGTTTAAAAGCGTGCTTTCGTGTGCGCTGACATTGACTATCAAACCATGGCTGCCTAAAGTTTTGACGCCGCTCACTTTGCATGGCTTGTGCAGATTCTTGGATGACCCGTGTGACTTCGTTTATTGTGCATTCGTTGTTTTCGCTTCTTCGCCTCAGACATCTATCCAGCCTGTTTCTGTACCTTTCCGCCTTTGATTCCACCCATCTTAGCTTGGGCAGCTGATGGTCCCCGTTCAATTGGGGCTGAGTTTGTTTCTGAGTTTGTCGCAACTTCTACTTCTACACATAGCGGCATATGATCTAAGAAAGTTTCTTCTAAAACCGAAAAGCGTTTAATAAGATTGTGCCAGGCTCCTCTTATAGCACAATAGTCTATAAAGGAGCAGGCTTGACCTCTTACGAAAGTAAAGTTGCCATCCGTATCTCCACTCATTCTGCCGTTTAGAATTGCCATATTTGTGGTTTCGCATAGTTCTATTAGCTAAGACCATTTCCATCCGCTGTTTTGTCCCAGGCTCTTCGAGTCTCGTTGATTAAGCTCGCCGTTAAGAATCCACTCTCCGTTTCGATCTGATGCTCTCCTATCCTCGCATTCAAGTCGCCCACTATCATGACGTTGTTTCCATTGTAGTCCAGTAGCCAATTGTAGAGGTCATCAAAATCTTGCTTCCAGTTGTTGCAGTTCAGGTATACGGGCAGTATGGAAAGTTTGTTTTGGGCGCAGGACAAGGATATTGTGGTTACGCCTTGTTGTGTTGTAAAGCTGCAGTTTACTCCAGGGTCCATCTGTTTGCTTATCCCAAAAACCTGTCCTCCACTCGCCCGCCCTCTAGCAAATCTTCTGGTTGCGGGAATCCAATGTAGCCTGTGGTTTGGGAAATACGTTTCATACTGGTGAAAACTGTTTTCTGCGAAGGTTTCCAATAATATGAATATTTCAAAAGAGATTATAAAAGAGAAGAATTTACTAAAAAGACGTTTATTTGCTAGTCCAGCTATATTGTATGCTACTATATTTAAACTAATTTTATTTATCGGGTTAGGGCTTTGGCTGCTGTACTGTTTTTTGTTTTTTTCTAGTTTTTTGGCAGTCTTGCTTTAGAGAGAAGGTATGTGTAGCTTATGTCGTCTGAGCTTATCTTATTTCCATACATCGCATTTAAAGTTTTAGTGTTAGTGTTTTTTCAGGGTTATAGTGCATCCACTTGCCTTGAATGTTAATTTCATCTCCCCTGACCATTACTTTGATGCTGTTGTCAACCGCTGCAAGATGGCGTTTTAGCTGGAGTAGCACTAGTTTTTGTTTCTGCTTTTCAATGCTGAGATCTTTTTCGACGAATATTTTGGTTCCTGCTAGTTTTTTCCCGTTACGTAAGGATTCGTTGACCTTGGATGCGGAGTCCAGCTCAGCTATTACGCCAACATTGTTTGACCTCTCGTAAATTATTCGCGTGCTTTGTGGGTGCAACCTGTGGGATATCCAGTTTGTCTCGCAGTAACTGCTGAACTCCAGTTTTTGTGGCTTTCTCTTTGTTAAGTCCCTTTATTATTATATTTTTGCTGCGACTTAGTTCAACCAGCCTTTTAAGCCCCTTTTTGTCCGTGATTCTGTCGCGTTTCAGTTGCTCGATCTCGGCTTTTAATTCGTGGTTTTCTGCCTGCCAAGCTTCTATTTTCTCCGAAACCCCTCCCAGCTTTTCCATCAGTTCTCCAACATCGCTTTTCGTTGCCACGTTTTTAAGAACATCCATCAAGTCGCTCATCGTTGGTTCTGGTGAACACTCGGTTCTTCCTCTTTTAGCTATCTGAGGGGTGATCGCAGCCTCCTCTTTAGATTTTGGTGGAGTTCGCATCATTCCTCCTTTTCCAGGCATTTGAAAAAGTTATTTATCGCGCCATAATTTATAGCTACGAGTAAATTTAAAAGCTGAATGCTATGACACTCGTCGTTCTAACTATCGATAGTCAACCTGTAAGCTCGATCAGCTGATCCAGTACTTGTCTAGTTTTTCGCGCTTTCTTTCCCACGTTGTTTTCGCTCGGATAATTTTTCTTGGTTTTCCTCCACCCTAGGCGCAAAAAAAAAATAGTGGGAAGCAAAGTGGCCAAAATGATGCTTACAAGCCGACGTGTTTTTCTGGAGATCTCGGGCGGCTGTGTTGATACCGTGGTGCCTGTTTGGTGCGTCTTCGCCTGGGCCGCGGATTGTGCTACAGTTTCGGGTTTGTTTAGCCTTGCAACGCTGGTAAGAAGATAAATTTCCGGAGCCCGACTCATACACGTCCGCACTCTTCATCTTCTATCATAGTTGCGACTAGTCATATTTTAGTTTTTATCTGAAGGAAGTACAAGAAAGTACACAAAATGCTGCATACCTTTTGTTTAATAGTTTCCGGATCTAAATTATATAGATTTCGAAAATACCATGATCGATTACACAGTGCAACATGAAAAATGTAACCGCAATTCTGATTTCATGGGCGGAAAGAACTCATCGAAATAAGCTAAACCCCATTTGGGTTTCTCTGGCTTAGCTCGCGTTTACCTTTTATAGCGAGTTAAAGTTTTACATACAAAATTTATTTGTAACGGCCATATCTTGTGAACCGATTAAAATTTCACTATCAAGTCTTCAGTGATTATGTAGCTATGAACCCAAGGAACGAAATTGACAAATGACTCTTGCGCACTTAGTAACTAGTGCACCTAGCGCGTTAAAAAACAAATTTGCCTAATTTTTCTCCTCCGAGCCGTTCGATAATTATAGAATCTAATTTTGAAACTTCTAACCGGAATTCAAAATGCAACAGCATTAATGAACGCTTTACAAACTTTAACACCGTTGATGGACCATCGGGCAATCATCTACAGGAAAAGTGGACCTGGAGCTCAGATTGTTCAAACAGTGAAGACAAACCATGTCTAATTAATAAAAATATTTCTCCGGTGAGTAATGCAAATAATAGTATATCCAATGAAAAATAAATAAATTTAGCCATCTATGGTATGGTTTTTTGCAACTTGTGGGCGTTAGATGGGTCGTGGCACCTTGATGAAACTTATATAAGTGTGAACGGTCCTTTACTTGATACTCGACAACTGCCTATTTGTATATGTATTACACTGTGCAACATTTTTATGGTTTTGAAATGTAACTGCATTTTGGATTTCAAAACCTGAAAGTACTCATCAATACGATTAAACCCCATATGGCGTTCTTCTGGCTTAGCTCGCGGTTGAATAATATAGCGATTTAAAAATTTAAATTAAAAATTGGCTATAAATTAAAAGTTGAAGAAAATTTTATTTGCATGTATTCAGGACTATTTGAGGTACTGACCTAAGGGTTAAAACCAAGAGAGAACGTTATAGTCGGGTTGGAGTCTCGTCTATCTAATACCCGTCACTCAGCTAAAGGGAGTGCGAGGGAGATGGATATATACATTTTTTTGATTGCGTATAACTTTTTAATGAATGGTCCGATTTGAAAAATGTCTTCTACATTTCGATAGATATAAATATAAACAACAAAATCTTTCGGAAATCTTCAAAGTTGTGGGCGCCAGATACATTTTAAAATCGTTAGTGGGCGATTGTGGGCGTTAGAGGGGGCGTGGCGCTCGGCTGAAATAAACTTGCGCTGCGTAGGAAGCCCAAGAATATTTGTGGAAAATCTCAACCTTCTAGCTTTTGTAGTTTCTGAGATCTCAGCGTTCATACGGACAGACAGACAGGACAGACGGACATGGCTATATCGACTCGGCTAGTGGCCCTGATCAAGAATATATATATTCTTTATAGGGTCGGAAACGCTTGCTTCTCCCTGTAACATACTTTTACTCTACGAGTAACGGGTATAAAAATAAATATTGCATGGATCCTTGGTCACTGCGGCATATATGGCAACGAAACTGCTTACAAAGCCGCAAAAAACGAAATCAATTCCACAATAACTTTATATAACCGTCATTCAAAAACACATAAAAAATCACTTTAAACACCAATAAACAGTGTTGGGAAAGGTACTGTGTTTTTTTACCTAGGTAAGGTAAAAGGTATTGGGCAAAAATAAATACCTAGTTAAGGTAAAGGTACTTCAATTTCCCAGTACCTAGGTAAAGGTATAAGGTAAATATATTGTTTTTTTTTATTTTTTATAATTTTTTTGTTTTGTTCAATGTAATCATTTAAACTTAAAATAAGACTAGTTTTCAGTTTTTATTCGTCTTAATCAAACAATATCTTTTCATTTCATTTAAATTTAAATGTTTTAATTTTGTGCACATATTTTTAAAACACGCGGCATGAATAATTGTATGCACGTATCACTTCATTAATGTATTTATGAAACCCTCATGTACATATTTGGCGCGCAAAAATTCCGTATGTAGAAACATTGACTATTAGGGTGGGTCGATTTGGAGGTCAACAAATCGTAGGGGGGAACGTATTCTATAGACTATTCTAAGCAACATTGCCAAAGAAACTATGCCTTGGAAACCACGTTTAATCCTCCGCATTTGCAAGAGAACAATACTGGTTTTTTAATGAAAAATATCTCAGTAGCCTTGACTTTCGAACATTTATATGGACGCGAAAAAAGATATAAATCGTTTGGGCGGAACATAATCAATGGACCATTCTAAGACATAATGACCAAGAAACTATATGCCTAAAACCACGTTTGACCCTCCGCATTTGCAAAAGAAAAATACTGGTATTTCACTTTATTTTTGAGAAAAATATCATAGTAGCCGTTACTAATATACAAAATAACAGTATTAAAAAAAAGATTTAAAGAGAACAAAACATTTTTAACAAAGGGGAGAATTTAAAATTGACAAATATTTCACGGCTACTATGATATTTTACTCAAAAGTAAAACGAAATACCAGTATTTTTCTCTTGCAAATGCGGAGGGCCAAACGTGGTTTATGGCATATAGTTTCTTGGGCAATATAGCTTAGAAATGCCCAGAGATTGTTTCCCGCCCAAACGATTCTTTACGTTTTTCAGGTCTATTCTAGTGTAGAAATTTTAGGGCTACTGTGATATTTTTCATCAAATACTGGGTTTTTTTC